CGTATTGGGTAACAAAACTGCCCACTTGTTCAGAGATAAACAATTCTTAAATTTAGAAAAGATAAATGTGGTTTTGACACGATCTCAAGTAAAACGATCTCGTGAAGAAGATCGAAGTAGAGACACTAAAATGGGAAAACCAGAAGCACTGTCTGTTATTGAGACTGATGAAGATATTTTAATGCAAGCTGACGATAAAGACAAAGAAATGAAGAAAGTAATTAATGTTAATTCTAAGGAATTAATTGAATCTCAGCATCAAAGTAGAGATCTAGCCTCATTGCTTAGAGAAGCTAAAAGCGAAAATTTCAGAAACACAAATGATTTCAAAGAAAAAGAAAACGGTTTGTTTGCGAAAAACAAAATAGATAAAAAGGGAAATGAAAGGGAATTAATTGTTATTCCTGAAAAATATAGGGATCAAATGCAGAACTATACATCTTTGATACAGAACCAAACAAATAATAGTACTAAAACTCAAGGTGATTTGGTCAATACTCACCCTCCTAAAAGTCAAGCTCCTGTCAATGCTTCACAGAAATCTGACAAATAATCTAAGCATTCATCTCTTGATGAGAAAACTGAAGTTTTTTTATATGGAAGTTGACTCACCTTATTTACCTGGTAATTCATCTTCTATGGATCATGTGTATGATTATTCCTCTACAAGTTCCCCATTTCCTTCTTCTCCAAAAAGTAAAGATGTGTTTGACAGTTCGTTAGCAGCAGATCAAAGAAATTCTTATAAAAGAACTCATGAAGGTGCTTCTAAAGCTGAGAAATTAAAAATACATTCAGAATATAAGCTCGCGTCAGAAAACTTAGCAAAGAGGCATAAACATGACAGAGGGTACTCAAAGTTGCCACATTCAATGAGAATGCAAGTAACAGATAAGAACAAAGGTTCATCTCGCAACAAACAAAAACTATCTGAAAAGAAAGAACTGACAAAATTAAACGATTCTCAGTTAAAAGTTCCAGATGAATTGCCAAGTTCTGGAGTTGAGATGCAAGTCAAAAAGAAGTTTTTAAAGAAACTAAACAGACAAGAGCAAGTTGTTGAAGAAGAAAAACTGCCACAAAAGCCTCTGTCACACTAACCTGATTTCAATAAGGAGTTTTATTTTGCAAACTGATGTTTCAAAGACTCTGGTATGGGTGTCATTTTAGCTCAAAAAGATGAACGAGACAATGAAACATCCAGTATTATACCTCAGTAAGAAATTTACAGAAACTGAAAAAAAATTCTAGTTGCTGTAACATACATACATAGTTGCTGTAAAAAGTACTAGTTGCGACAGAAAAGGAATGCGCCGCCATAATATTTGCTGTAAAGAAACTTCAATGTTATTTAGAGGGGCACACTAAATTCCTCATCATGACCGATCATAATCCCTTAGTTTGGCTCAAAAATAATGTGAGTCTAAATCCACGACTTATGAGATGGGCACTAGTACTACAACCCTACAATTACACGATCGTTCATCGAAGTGGTAAAACCCATAAAAATGTAGACGCATTAAGTCGTACTCCGTGGCCTGATTAAATAATTTGTTTCTCTATATAGATAAAAAATATTCTGTTCCTTCATCTCTTCCTTAGTGTATGTTATTATGTTATATCTTGTATTTCAATTCTGTATTGTGCTGATATTGTTGTTTAGAAAAAAAAAAAAAAAAAAAAGAAAAAAAACGTAAACTTTAATTTATAAAAATCTAAATTAAAGTTTATCTGGATGGGGGAGAGGTTGTAATATCTTGTTATTTAATAAATAAATATAATTATTGTTGAAGTGGCAACGTCATATTTGTATTAAACCGTTACTCAGTAACGTGAGATATTGTTTTAAAAAAGATGAGAATTCTGAAGATTTTTACAGCTAGGAGTAGTATGAAAATTTTGCCACTTAAGAATTGTATAAATTTTGTCTATCACCGTGACTAGAAATAAAATTTATGTTCTACTAAGAAGATTGTCTGTTTTGTAAATTACTGCAAAATACATTACAGCGCGTTATCAGATGACTTTCTTGATAGCAGTTTATTTAAGGCGCAGCGTTGTTCTCGCCATTAAGCTTGTCACGTCGATATTGGGTCTGAGCCAATTTGCGTGCATTCCATCTGTATAGTCTTTAGGCTAAATTACAATCTAATTCCTACATAGTTAACTTTAAATGCTTTACTTTGAGTTACGTCAAGAATGCTGCCTGGCTATGGGAGCGAGAGCAGTGCCTTATGGTAACCTACTGATTTGAATAAAAGTTGCTAATATACCCTTTCCGAGTCTATATTATAATTTCCAAGATACAGCGAAAGGTTGCTTATATTTTCAGAGGTTTCATCTAGTTTATGTTACGAAAGAGAGGGAGGCTCTATAGCTGTAAGAATATTGGGCAATTTAAGTACATACATTAAAAAAAATACTGAAGTAAAACAAAACGTAATTTCCATACATATGCCTCCGATATTACCAGAAACTAGAAAGTCATAAAAAGGAATAATGCAGATTACTGCAGATATTGTTCAAAAGGCTCACCGTTAGCAGTAACGCTCATAAGTACTCAATACTAAATATTTAATTTAAAATGCCAAAACACTGTAAGATTCACATCTCTGCAAACTTCGGTTATGAGACTGTTTAAATTCAAAGTCCTTGTACAAAGTCACTTAACTTGCTGCTTCAGAGAACTGCAAAATAACTATTTGAAATGTTTCATTCCTAAGAATGAGAGGGTCATTCCCCAAAACTTATCCTTTCTAAAGTCTCTCTTTCAGAGATGTGTTCAAGTAAATTGGCCGCTCAAGACATTGCAGGAAAAGAACGCTATTGCATTAAATATGGTCCAAAGATACCGTCAGGAAAATCAGTTATTGTATGCTAATAAAAAAACGTACTTTGTCCAAAGAAGGTACAATCATAAAACATAATCTAAGTAAACATGATTTGCAAAAAACACACAACGTACGTAAGAACTAAAGAGGCTGATATTTTCTGAATTTAACCTGGAGCACAAAGTCCGTCCTGCAGAAGACATCACTTAGCCCTCGCATACGGTGGCATAATCAAATAAAAACCATACGTGTTTCGGCAAAAGAGATGAGATTACCGGACAGTGTTAAAAACTTTATTCTTTTGTAAACATTAAATTAATTTAAAGTAATCAATTTTCAAGTTATTTGTAGTGAAATGCATTTTTTATATTATCGTCAATTTACTTCTTTTATTTTTCCCCTCGAATTACGATTTACTTAAGCATGAAGTCCAATGTTGGGGCTTTCGATGAAATACTTATTTCGCGACAATTATACAGGACAGGAAACCTCGAAATAAGCATCTATACCATCATGACGACTTATCTGCTTATTTGCTTATTACGTGGGTCCATCCACTGTTTTTGTTAGCATAAATTTAGGTATTTTGCATAATGAAACTCGAAAGGCATACGAAACGAACGTGCGCCAAGATATATATTGGCGAGAGAAAGTAAAGTTCGCGTGCAATGCAGTATATTCGATTTTCACCCTAACTACTTTTATCACGGCTAAAGGTCTAATTCAGTTAGTACTTTCTCTTTTCAGGTACCGTGTCAAAGTATGTTCCTGTTTTTTCTTATTGCCTAAATAGGTATGCTTGAAGATGTATGACTTATATTTGTATGTAAGTTATCTCCTTTTCGATAATTCAGTGTTTTAATGTCTGTGAAGATTATTACTTTTTGTTATGCTTAAGTTAAGCAAAATTCTCCTATTTTATTAAATAAAGATTTCGTAGTTAATTTTTTGACTTATGATTCTTTAATGAAAACTGCGCCTGAAGAAACTTATTCATTACTCCTTCAGTGCTAATGCACAAACCAACAGATTTCTATTTATTATAAATTTCTCAATATTTACATAATAAGGACAATATTACATAATTTGGTTATATAATAATACCAATAACATATCAATAATATATCAATAACATTAGCAACTGCATATTAGTAACATAATAGTTGTTTTTGGTAATATAGCAATTACTTTTCATTAAGTAAATACAATATAGTAATATTTATGCTTTTATATTGTCGCTGTTTATTGATAAATAGTTTATTAGATTTTGGAACTTTCGTCTAAGGAAGTTATGTTTTAGTAGTTGTTTGAACCATAGTTTGGCATTTTCTGATGTATATGGTTGAAAATGTAAATCTTTGATTATATCACGTTCAAGCATATAACGATCGATAGTTCATGTAGTTACTCACATGCATTTATCTATATGATGTAAATTAAAACGATGTAGATATGATGCAAAAGGACCATGGGCTGTTAAAAAAATGTTATGGTGAGGTTAGTTGAGATAAGATGTTTTGTTGGAGTAGATATGAATCTACCTATTTCTTCTTGTGACCATTTTTCATTCCATAGTGATAAAAGGTCTTTTTCTAAACTTGATTTTAAATAAGAAATTATTTAAAATTATACAGGAGCTAATCAATAAAGCCTCATGGTAACCTTTTTATTATTAGCACTATTGAAAGCGGAATTGTCTCGCCTGTTGATGTCCAAATGTCGCCAGGAACTGCTTAAATCAACTCATACTCGTTACTTAAGAGTAAACTTCTTTCATAATTCCCAATCCAAAAAAAATTTTAATTAAGTCTTACATCATAAACTTTGAAAACAGAATTTATGAGCTGAGTATTGTAAGTTAGATATGCCGTATATCTTATTAATTCAATTTCACATTTTAAATTATCACATTTCTTCAATAAATATCAGTTAAGATATTTAAAACATAATTACTTTTCCTATATATAATATGAATAAAAGCATGTGAAATTCATTAAGAATAAATATTAAACAGCTGATTCATTTTATATTACTCATTTTATAAATCTATTTTAAATGACGGTTTTTTCAACTAAACTATTTCTAGGTAATATTTTATAGACTTTATTTAATAAAGGAAATATTCCCAATTAGGTGGCATTTATTAAAATTCATGCAAAAGTGACTTACTTGTATCTCAAACATTTGACAACTGGATAATCTAACTTGTAGCACTTCCTATCGAGTAAATTGAAATACAAATTGCCAATCGTATTAGCAGTGCCTGTGTTAACCGTTTCCAAGCAGGAGTAAAATTCCTCATCACATCCGCAACTCAGCCTGAAATAAGTTATCAAATTAAGAATAACATGGAAAATTATAATGTGAATTTGTTACTCATTTTTTAGTATATGCATAGAATGAGAAACGGGGTATCACAATAATTTGTAAATTTAATAAAAAGATGGAACCTTTCTGTTGGTATATGAATACTATGCTGCTGTATTTATAAAACACTGGTTATTAATTCCCTGTTACTTTACAAAACTTTGAAGGCAAGGCTTAATTAACTTTCTTTCCTAGAAAGAAACTGTATCGATATATAAGTGAGACAGATATATCTTTGCATCGATTAATCTGTTTGAAGAAAGTGCTGCAGTACTTTCTTAGGGTACCAATAGTCTGTTTTCCGAAGGAGAGTAGCTGATAGAGAATTTACTCAGGCACAGAAATTCCATATGCATGTAAATTCTTGTAAATATTTAAATTCGCTTCGCTGCATTGGGTTTTTTTAGTGGTGCTGTAATATCGTGTATAATTTTATTTACTTATTGGTTTTTGTATTTAGGGTAATTGTTGTTAGGGTTTATTTTGTATACAATTGATTTTTGTCGTCACGTTGCTTGTATATAACAGTTTTTTGTACATAACAATTAATTTTGCGGTCACGTTGTTTTATATATAACAGTTTATTTCTTATATAGAATTGTAGATCTTTCATTCGGAATGCAGCAGCATTTAAATTGTTAAATTATCTCAATTAGAAGAAAAAATATAAACAAAACGTTCCTGATGGGCCTTTGCAACAATTTCTGTCACAAGCTTGACGAATTGTGGCGCTTTCTTGCCAACCTGGCGACCTTTCGGAAGTTTCGAGAGAACCTTTTTTTAAAGCTCCGATTTTCCCGAAGCGTCCAGAAGTCCATGCAACACATTATAAATGCGAGTTATTTATGTAAAACAGAGTTAAAACATACAGAAGAAATTTCGGAAAAAGTATTAGGGGAAGAAACCTGTTAGTTAAACGAAATTCTGATGACTTACTAAATGAACCACCAAGGCTAAAAAATAAATTTTATATTCTGATTGTTGCCATACTTAGTCAGAAAGATTCCGCTTCTAGTTTGTCATAGGTGAATCTAAGCCTAAGTAGTAGGATACTGAGACAGTGTGTAAATCGTAAATTATTCTTGGAAAAGAACCGTTATAACCTCTTCCTTCATTTTCTAGAATATTTTGACCATCCTTTTATCTTCATCAAACAGAACTTTTAAAATAGTGATGGCTACATTATTTATAAATTAAATTAATTAGTTAGTTATACATTATTTATAAATCATACATTTTTTACATTCTATTCTAGGTTCTACAAGTCAGTAACGTAGCGCTCTTGTTCTCTGGATAATGAAGTTTTCTTTCATTTTTAGGAAGATCTGTTTTATTTCAGTGACTCTCTTTCCCCAGAACTTTATTTAAAATCGGTTTTGCTTCCTCTTGCTGCAGCCTTTTTGATAACTTAAGAAAAATATATTCGTTTTTTAAAATAATTTTTTTGAACTTGGTGAGTTTTGTACTACTGCACATCTAGAGATCTGAGAACCCTCTAGTCTACGTCTCATAATCGATAGAATTATCTGAGGTTTTATTTTAGTTGACTGATTTATTGTTTTAGCTTTTCCACTTTTATCAGTTTCTACCAGGATGCAGTTTACTTAAAGTATGAATAAGCTTCTAGTTGCTAGGTTTTTGACAGCAGCAAGCTGGTGTTACTCTAAATTAGATTTTCTCCTGCTGCAACTTAGTTTTCCTGCAAAAGGTTTTGTTAGTCCCGATTTCTTCCAGAGCTTTTAATCAAGGTTAAGCTCGTTAATTTTGTAGTTTCCAATATGAACTGTGTTTGTTTACCGGCAAGTTAAAGGAGTTGGTGACCTTTCGGATTGAAGGGAGTGCATGGGGCAAAGCATGTTGCCAACCATTGCTCTATACATTTTACTTCCTTCTTAATATCCACTGTAAAAGCAGGATTGAAAATGAATTGTAAAGATTTTCAAAATCATAATGGTTGATGTTTTGAATATCCAGCAATAATGGTGTTTCTGATTAATTTATGTAAAGAGAAGCTTAAACGTTTCCTTGAAATGCTGAGCAAAAACGTAATCCTTTGCTTCTTCTTTTTACGGTTTTTTTGGCCATTTGTAATACATCAGAATTGCATTGGATATTTGTGAAATTTGCCGCCTATCTTCTCATTGATTTCCACTGTTACATTCGTAAAACAACTTTAAACGATTTTAATTTAAAGTACATCTGTTTGAAAAGTTTTCTCATTATTTGAAATTTTAATTGAATTAGTGGAAGATATTTGGTGTCAAATATAGCATATCTGGTACCGAATCTTTTGTTTTGTTTGTTTGTTTCTAGTCAGAGATTTTTATCTGATATAAACAAATATCGGAATAAATAGAGATTTTGCCTGTCAGCAATGCCTAAGATCAGCTTATTTTTTATCCGTATTATAAAAATACGTTACTCTTCAATGTAACTAAATGAATCATTGAAAAACAATTTTTAAAATATTTTTTCAAATATTTGTTCAAGGTTTTATTACTAACATTTATACATATTATTTCAACCATCTAAAATATTCTCTGATATATTCTCAATAATTTCGAATAATGCTTTTAATTCTTTTCACATAAACTGGCTACCAGGAAAATTATACTATGGCTTCTTTATGACCTTTAAATTTTCACAAGAGGGAAAAATATAAATATTCATGTATAATAAATTTTCGCCAAGGCTTTCCTGTGAGACAAGCATATTAGTTTATGGTCTCAACAAATGCAAATGCTCCGAAAATCTAGTGTAAATAGTTAATTAGGTTTTAAATTTGCCCTTGTAGTGGTTCTTGTAATATACCGTGTAATTGATGTATTTTGCATTTTCAAAATAACGAGTTAAAAAAGAAAAAAAAAACTTTTGTCTTTTAGAATATGAAGGGTGTTTATCAATTTTTGCAGTTCGTTTTAAAGATCAGTACTGATCTGTCAAGCTACCAGATGTACTGCGATGTTATCGACAATTCAAGAACTTTAGATGACTGTGTAAAAGCAAAAACTCTGCATGACTAAGTGTTTCTAATGTAACAGTGGAAAAAGCTAGAAAAGGTTTCGTACATAGCCCTTAAAAATCAATGTACAAAAGTCAAAGTCTCTAGACTCGAACTTTCTATTCGTCAGCTAACAAAAATACAAGCGTTTGCGATGGTGTTTCCAACTAAAACCATTTTTAAGGATGTCTCCAATTTTTGCAGATTGATCCGTTTTCGGGTGCTTTCGAGCCAGAAGATTATCTTAAATAATACAAATTTTGTCATGCTTGAACTGTTCTATATAAAAAAAAAGTCTCATTTTTTTTTCAGAATGACAAACCGTCCGGATAAGAGGAAGCATTTTGATTTTGGAAAAAAATCAAAATGTTTCCTCAAACCAAAATCAAAATGTTTTGACAAAATGGACCGTTTTGATGCTCTTGTTGAACAAAAACGTGATTCACCAAAATAAATCATCATTTGTGCCATTTTACAGACAAAGGTATATGGACCATTTTCTAGCTTTCGAGAACATTCCGACGGGTATACTATATTTTGATACGCTGCAACTATAGTATTTTCTTCAAATGCAAATTTCCTATTCTAGAAAATAGAGGATCACTTCTCTATCACAATGGAAGTTAATCAGTACTAACTGATCGTAATGAGCTCCCACATCATTGACTGTTTGACATGGGGAAGAGGATTTAGCATTGTTCAGATGCTTACCAACGTCTCTCGTCTTAATAATTTAATTTATACTATTGATTTTTCCCTAATACCTATTGATTTGTCCCTTTCGGGCTACATTACAGACAATGTTCTCCACCTGCCAGCAGCACTGCAGAAGGAGTACTACATTTGCATTAATGATCATCAGTTTCGAATAACAAGAGAAACACACATCGAACATTTGAAGAGTTATTACTAAAATCAGAATTATATTTACTTCACTTCATATGGTACTTATTATTTTTAGTTATAGTACAGTTATAAGGTATTTCTCCTGCCTTCCTAGAGTGCTTTTGTGGTGTAGTGGTTCTGCACGCTGTGCCGGTATTCCAGAGGTCCGTAGTTCGATTCCCGGCGAAAGTGATTGCTAATTTTTCATCTCTGTCGCTTCGAAGAAAAATCCTAATGTCTCTACACAGTGTCTTCAAAGCCAAAAAATCATTTGTAAGAATACTGTACTTCAAGTAGGAATAATAGATATAATGTGCAACAAAATATAGTAAATATGAAAAACATCTTACAGAGTGAACTGCGAATCGTTGATTAAATCGCCTTTCTTCTCTCCAGATCTCAACATGTCATCACAGAGGTCATGAGCTCTGCAGCATTTGTCAGTCTCCGCTTCGCTCCCAAGGTCATCGTAGCTCTGAGCTTTATCACCCGCACCGCACCACTTTGTCCCTGAAAGATGTTAAATGAAAATATTTATCAAGATGAAAAAACCCGTATTTATTATGAAGGTATAAAGTTTAGTAAACCTCTTGGCTATCACAAACTGCATCCAAAGTATAGTTACTCTAGCAGCGAATTGTCGCTAAGTTTAAAATAACAACTGAACATTGAGAAGGGTGTAAAAGACCCTTTATTTAAAACTATGGAAGAAGAGAAGGCGCACCTGGTGCTTAGAAGCTCAGCCAGCGCTTATTTCGAAATAACTTATAGTAATATAATTTAAAATGTAAAATTTAAATTAAATGAGCTTGAGTCCAAGGCTACGCAGATCAATTAAACGTGAAGTTGGCTCACAAATCTAACAGGTGTGGATATTCAATATCGGTAATTATAATGCAAGGACGAAAACTACTTTATCTGAGCTACCAACAACTTAATAACGGGGAGTCGAAAAGCAGAAAACTCTATGTCTTACCGTCTAAAAACTCATCTTACATTCTGGCCTGGAAATGGAAGGAAGAAGTGTCAGTAAAGATCAAAATCTTAAAATAATTAACATAAAGGAACCTACAAAGATATAACTGTGGAGACTTCTAAATGCATCACAGTTGTCATGAATATGTAAAGAGAGATATGTTTATTATGTATCTGAGGTGCAAGTACATGAATAAATTTCAAAGGTCGTAATTTCAATAGATTAATTTCATTTTCTCAACAATTCTACTTGAAAATGTAACAGGCGATATATTACTGCATCTAAGTTTTATGATAGCAAATAATTATGTATATTTAAAACTAGACCCTGATAAATTTTGTAATTATATAGAGTAAAATCTTTTTTTTTTTTCAGAAGATATGTGCTTAAAAAGTGAAGATGCTAAATTATCGTTCGTCAATAAAGTTAGTGGTATATCATTAGACTGATATTACAAAGATTCCACATATGCATAAGATATTTTAATAAAGAACAAAAACGTACCTTCTATGAAAATATTATATTGCAAGGAGCATTAAGAGGGACAGGGATATTGCTATCGAAGCTTAGTGGTGTTATCGCTTTCAAAGAATTTTTTAAATTATGAAGCACATTTGCTAATACAACAGTATGAAAGTAGAGATGGTCTAAAATTTAAGATTTTTTTTAAATTCGATCATAACGCTGAAAACGTTTTCTATCAATCAGATCTTTCTCTTAAGAATAATAATAAAAAAGAAAAAAACTTATACTAAATGCTTAAAAAAATTTGATTATAACAAACTGGAAAAAAAACATTTAACTTTAAAAATACATAAATATTTATTAAAGGGAAAAAGTAGTTTTAAAAGGCTTTTAAATATGTAATGAAATCTCTTGGCTATCTAGGTCCATTCTTTCAATATAATTTGAAAAATTTAAACAGTTATTCAAATATTGTTTTTTTTTCCATAAAAATCGAAAAAAGATATTTGAATAACAGTTTAAATGCTTTACATTTCTTCTGGAATAATTTAAAATCAAGAAGTAGAAAGAAACGGAACTAATGAATAATTATTTTATCTTTAGAAACATTTATTTTGAGATTTATACCCATCAAGAAATGAAAAATTTTCACGAGAAAATTAAATGAGCGTGGCAGATAGAGCCACAACAAAGTTATATTGACAGTCCAGAGCCGCATAAATTGCAGCTGTCGCTTTCTTGTTTTAGTGAATACTGTCATTAATAAATAATAAAACTAATCTTTCTCAAATTCACTACTGTTTAAATTAGGATTCGAAATATTCGAGCAAAAGAAAAGAAGTGAAGCTTCGAATTCTAAAATCCTTTAAGGTTTTAAGAATTCGAGCATATTGGTATGTTATATCTGTAGTTAAATGCCTTAAAATTATTAAAGACTTACAAAACTGAGGATAGACAGCATCATTTGTCGAGCATAAGCTAATAAGCGCCCGTTGCCGAAAGAGCTTCGCTGTTGATCTGTAAATTTAATGTCTTTACCAATAAAGCTTTAAAATTTTGATTGCAAGAGTTGAATGGCTACCATGAAATATCATAACGTTTTAGGTATTATGCATTTAAAGTCAAAGCTAATCTCATAAATTAGGTCGCCGCTCAATCGAGATAGGGGTTAGCGAAGTTGAATGCCATAACGAAGGGTTCGGGCTCTAATCCCGGAGAAGACATGGATGTTTGTAAATTTATACTGCAATTGCGGCATGAGGGCACTCTAAATATGTGGCAAGCCAAACGTCTTGTCGAAAGGATATGTTAGGGGAAGAGGGGTTGGAAACCCTCGGTCCCCGGGTATTTTTCATCAAAATTGGGGGCGGAACTGAGCAAAGTCACACTGTAGAGACATTAGGTATTTTTTGGAAGCAGGAGAATTGAAAAATTACCAAACGCCTTCGCCAGGAATCGACTGCGAACCTCTGGAATACCAGCCCAGTGTGCAAACCACTACACCATGAAGTCACACTAGGAAAGCGGGAGAAATATTTTATAATACTGTCACCTGTTTGGTGCTCAAGGCTCTTGCCAGCGAGAGGCGTAATCTTGCACTCCTTGCTACGATAAATTTCGTGGGCTTGTTTCCAGGTATTCTATAAGACAAGTGAGATAATTCACAACAACAAAAATGAAGTAACCATTATTATCGCTGTTACGAATTAACTTTGTAATATTTATTAGTCCAAATGCGCTATTTGTCTTGACGCAAGATTTTGCTTTGATTCTCTGCAAATGTGTTTGTTTCATTTTTCTTTCGAGTCTGTTGCCTTACGGCAATTTTTTTCTTTTAGACGTAACCTGTTTGTTACTGCGTAACACATTAAACCATTTAAAAGCAATGGATGCAGTTCTTAAGATTATTATTATTATTATTATTATTATTATTATTGACTTAATCTGATTGATTTAAATACAAATGCATTTAATTCATGATATATCTAATTAAAAGCATTAAATGATTTTATAGCATTAAATGTGTTTATAGCATAGCTTTTATAGGATTTTATAAGTCTATATGAATATTTATCTAGTATCCTAGTAAATGTTTTGCTATCCCACTTGGTCCATTTCTATTGATAATCTCTACTGATAAACCATATCAAGGACGTCTTTTTTGATCATAAATCTTTCAGAATTTAAATTTTATGTGTTTATTTACATTTGATGAAGTATTTAAAAGTCTGTTTCAACACATAATTATATATTTCTTTCTAAACGTTTTTCGCGAATTTCATGGTATTTTTATGGTTTTCAGTAGTTTGTTAATCTCTAATTAGTTTCGAAATCTGCTTTCATAAACTTTATATTTTAGATGGATAATTAAATAATAATTAAGTCTATCTCTTTGAGTATGCAGTATACTAATACAAAATAAAAATTTCAAAAAATTGAAAAAAAAAAATTTAACAAGTTTGTAGAGACATTAGGAATTTTTTAAAGCAGGAGAGAGTAAAAATCAGCAACGCCCTCCCCGGGAGTCGAACCATGGACCTCTCGCATCTGTGCCGAGTGTGCTGGCCATTACACCACGAGGGCGTGCTGAGAAGGCGGGGGAAATACCTTATGTACTCCCCCTTTTAAAGGGTGACTAGGGATTAGGAGACCCAATCGCCAAATTCTCGTGGTGAAGAATCATTATCCATCACTTTTTAGTTCGGACTCTACTGTAGAGGCATTAGGTTATTTCGAAGCAGGAGAGAGGAAAAATGAGAAGCACCCTTCACCGGGACTCGAATACGCGCCGAGTGTGCTGGCCATTACATCCCGAAAGCATGCTAAGAAGACTGGAGAAATACCTTATAAGTCAAAAATTTAAAGTGTCTGTCTTGACAGCGGGCAAGCTCGGTCTTTATTAAAATCATGCTTTGGTGAACCAAAGATAAAACAAATCATTATGACAATCTAAACACATTTAAAGTAAAAAGGATAATTTTGTGCATCATCATGCCATAATAGCATAATATAAAATCAGTAAGCCAGACTTGCTGTATCTATTTACATTTGCACCATATTCGTTCTTAACCGGAGGAGAAAGAAAATAATTTTATGACTGAACATTTTATAACTGAACATATCAAACTAAACCAAAAAATCAATACGTAAACGTTACTAAAATTATTTACTTAAAAACTTTTCAAAAAAAAAAATAAATGTTATCTTGGGGGGAGAGGAACAGCTCCAGTATGATTTCACAGCAGTTTCAAATTTGTTTATCTCAAGATGATTTATATTGTAACCGGATAAAATATTCTTGAAACTCCTAAAACCTACTTCAGGTTTTAGAGCAACAGAATCCAAAATTCTTGAAGGAAAGTGAGTAAAAATAAGAATTAAGCCGAAAGCTATTGCGAATTCATTAAAATAACATTTAACATTATATTGAAAACTCTTGTTACTCTAGTGCTGACAAATGTTTTATCATTTTTGCCAAATTCATGCAACATTAGTTAAGACAACGCCTGTTAACCTATTAGAACAAAGACAGGAATACTTTGAATTCAACTAGCTATGGAAATGTGATTTATAGTTCAAAGTTTCCAAGTCCTCAAATTCTTTCTTCTGTCCACAGTCTCCGCAGACAAAGAATCATAAATGCGTTGCTCCCTGTTTCTTGAACTTTGTTTATTTCTCTCTCTACGATATTCAACTGCATCAGTAAAATTTCCCGTACTTGGTGCATTATTTTGATATCTCGAACTGTGTATGGAACACGGGCATGTCCTGTATATGAGTAAAGTCATCAGTGGTCATAAGACCGCAAAGTAACACCAGACTATCGACTTCGCAAAATGACAGTTAGCCGTTTTTTTAGTACTTTTACAACAGTCAGTGATCAAAAGGAGACAAAGTGTATGATTTTTTTACATCTTTTGCTCTTATCTCTATGAATGATACTCAACTCATGGACTCTCAAATGCGAGGCCCTTTATGAGATTCAATGAGGCCTTGGTAAGAGCGCGATAAATTACCGCTGAACACCAGAACACACAACAAAGCAACAATCAGATCATGCTAGAAAGTATTCACACCAATTTCATAGAATATCATCTCTTAGATACTACTATTTTATTATCCAAAGATGAGGAAATATTGTAAATAAGTCATGAATCTTTTTTAACTTTTCTTTTTTATCTTTAAGGTATTAAAATTGCCTTTGATTACTCAGACAAATAATTATGTAAAGAAATTAAAATTAAAATTATCTTTTTAGCTATCACATTTTCCTACGGCATTCTTACCTCATTGTTTAAATATTACTTCAGATTTATTGATGTTTTATTTGCGATGAACAACGAAGTGATTAAATATAATTATCACTAATATTTTTGAAAGAGAAAAAACGTCAGTGTATCTCCAATTACCTGGGAAAACTGTACTTGAATTATGTGGCTCTGATTTCCATTTTTCTAAAGTCTCCGGAGAAACCCTCATTTCTGCATCACTTGAAATTGGTGTTCGTCTTCTGCTTTCACTAAAATATTCGAGGCCATGAAAGTCACTGCGAGAAGTTCTTGCATTGCTGCGTAGAAACTCCAGGCAGTTTTTTAAGTGGTCTCTCATTTCGTTCACGCTTGGTTTACTGATTTGATCTTCCCCTCCTTCCTGCAAAACGTCTTTGATGACCGCCCTAGTTAGAATTTCTTATTTTTAGATAAAAATAAAAATAAAAACTCTTAAAGCTTTCATTTGTTACATTTTATAAAAGTAATATTTATTAAATCTGGAATGTTTAAACGAAATATGTAAACGACGAAAGCAATTTTCTGACTTGCAGTTAAGCAACATTCTTGAGACACAAAACAAAATCACTTTTAAATATAGGTAATATGTTAGTCAAAGAATGCAGCATATTAAATTATAACATTATGACATTTACATATATATGTCATATTAAGTATTTAAAATGACAAATGGAATTAATACAGAAAGATTTTATATAAAAACCCCGGATGCTGATGAATGAAGAAGCTGAAGAGCTGATGAATGTAATTACATCTATAAGATCGTTTGACTATATTATAGTATTTCTTCCGCCTTCCTAGCATGCCTTCGTAGTGTGGTTTGCACGCTTGGGTGCGTATTGTAGAGGTCCGTGGTTCGATTCCCGGAAAGTGCGTTACTCATGTTTCATCACTCCTGCTTCAAAAATACCTAATGTCTCTACAAGTGGTGCCCTAACTGAAAGGGTGGTGGATGATGATTCTCCACACCCAGGATTCGGCGACTGGGTCCCCTAAGAACCGCAGTCGACCTTCAAACGGGAAAATATATAAGGTATTTCTTCCGCCTTCTTAGCATGCCTTCGTAGTGTAATAGTCTGCACGCTGAGCACGTATTCCAGAGGTCCGTGGTTCGATTCCCGGTGAGGGCGTTGCTCATTTTTCATCACTCCTGCTTTAAAAATAACCTAGTAGCTCTAAAATACTATGGGCATTTTCTGATTGTAATTTGAAAAAATTTCCGATCGAGATGCATTGGAAAAAGGATCATAGGATAGAGGTACGATTTTGTAAAAGAAATCAGATTTATAAGTGATTCTACATGAAACATCTTTCCATTAATTTAGTCCAATAATCGACTTAAAATTCTGTTCTGCTCTTAGAAAACCCTTTCTTTTTAAGATTTTTGAGGTAGACTGCATTTTTATTGCTTATTAGAAGGCACAGTATTCTTTGCCATACGTGGCCTACCATCCGCCTGATGACATACCGTCGTGAACCGTAATCAGAACCGAAGAAACTGATAACATTACCGTACTAAGCCATATTACGAACATCTGTAGATAAATAAAAGAAATTACATGTACTTACTTTTATTACATTACCTGATTATTAAAATCGATTAAATAACATTACTAGAAGAATTCACTTATGTGGTCTTTACGAAGATCTATCGTATCTCTCGATGGACGTTATTGCACTTAAACATAATAAAGAAGTAGTTCAAGCAATCCTGTATTACATCTAACGATGAAAGCAGTCCTACTTCACATTCATCAAAAATCGTCATTTTACTACATAATCAAATATAAAACAACACTGATAATCATCTCATTTTACTTTCACAAAAACATTGTCCTGATGCCTTTCAACAAGGCCAGCGGTTAACAACCAGTTATATTTGTGAACTTAAGCATATGCTATATTATATTTATATCTGAACTCAATTCAAGAGCATGTTTGAAATTTTCAGTTTTCGCTTTCTTTTACAGTGACGAAAACGCTTTACAGTTTCTCCGTATTACATCGAAGATACGCTTATTAAAGTATGTTCTTTACACAATTGTCGTTTTATATGGAAGCTAGGAATCTGGCAACACAGACAAAAATGTTTGCTTAAATTCTAAGGTAAATATCCTAATAGAGATTGAAAACTTTGATATGTAGCAGACAAATGTAACTAGTCCCGTGAATCGCTATAACCACTGGACGATGCGATAAGTTTTCTTTAAAATAAAACTTTTAAATGAAGCGCTTAAACTTTCTATGAACTCCTAAAATTAAGCTGCTTGCTTATTTACTTCTATACAAGAAAAAGTGTAGTTTATAGATTAAAATATCTGATGTGTACACTACATGACCTCCTCATACGGAATATTAAATTATACGCATTTTTTCTTGCATTTCATTTAAACTTATTGGATTGAATTAAATCTACTTCGTCGATAGCGGATAAACCACAATAGAATAAATGCACTCTTCGAAATTCACTATATATATGTTTACCATTAAATCTATTTCGATAGCGCATAAACTACAATAGAATAAATGCACTCTTATTATCTAATCATTGCACATGTTATATTCAAATACTATAATAAATCTAAAGATTATAAAATGTATGAAAGAAATTAAGTAAAGAACAACAACAAACAAACAGTCTTTCACAGGCGATTGAATATTTCTCATTCAAATAAGTCAGTTTTCACTTCGCGACAAGGCAAAAATACATAAAAAACTTAAAATATCTGTATTAAAAATTATGAAGTAAATCTTACACTTAGTTCTTCGAATAAATTCCAGAATGGATCAAGCATGATTTAATTCGCAATAATAAAAGAAGGCGTTATCTTTCTTATTGCGGAGCTTACTTTTTCTAGATTAGCAACATATCTACTATTCTGCTGTTTCAAATGTACACAAGCATGGCCGCCATTTCAAACATAATTAGGCTTAGTGTCATTTAAGCAACTTTTAAATTGTTGATAATTCTAAAAATATTGCATGCAGATTTACTAAAATCATTAAAACCTTAGCCGGAAATAAGAACTACATAATTAAATTATTTTTAAAGCAAAAAGTTCACAATTTGCAAACATGTAAGAATAAAAAAACTGAGATTACTGAGCCGAGTAACAGACTAGATATATATATTATATATATATATATATAATATAATACATATATTTGCATACTTTTGGTGCAGCCGATTACAACCAAATACGAGATGCTCATCTACATAGCAATCCTATATACAAAATTTCAAAGTTCTGAGCCTACTCGTTTTTGAGTTATGCGAGATACGTACGTACATACGTAATTACACACAGACGCCACGAAAATTTCTCGTCAGAATTCATTTTAAATCAGTTTTATAATTTTTTGGGGGTACAAGAAGTTCTTTACTATGTCCTTACGTACGGATGTCATACAAAAATATCGTTAAATTCATTCAATAGCGGTCAAAATGGATATTGTCGTTGAAATATGATGCCTGAAGTTTTTCGCGATTGCAATACTTCCTTTTTACTTCATACAAGGAAGTAAAAATGCATCAAGACATTCATTCTTGAAGTTATTCCTTCCGAAAGCAATTTCCTTCAACGAACCACATGTGTGTATGTATGATCATGTCAACAAACCGATATTGAAAGAAAAAAAAAGGTCGCAACCGTATGTATACATCGCAATTAATAAAATATCGTAAGAGTATTCCGTTGATTTACTGTAATAACTTTCTATTTCGTTCGAGTAAAAAATTTAAGTTACTGCTATTTTTACAGTTTAAGATTTTTAAGAGTAATTCAAACTTAAAAAAAAAAATACTTACTCATCTGTGTATATTTCACAATGTTCTACTTGTTGAGGATCATCATTAACAAATGTGATTATCAGAAGAACTTCGCTGCGATCGTTAGATGGTTTCTGAAGAAAAATCTTCTTATTTTGAGCATTTGTCAGAACTACCAACGAGCAGAATAGGAATCCAAAGAGAGATCGCATAATTGGTGCGGTAAGCTACTTGAAAAGAAGATAAATGGACAGAATTTTAAAACACATGAAATTTCAAATATTAAAATACTAATATGAAAATAAAGAAACATTCATTTGGGTGTATTCTTTTAGAACTTTAAAGAAACGTTTTATGGATTTAATATTCAGCTACATGAAATGCATATGAAAATATGTTATGGCTATTACGCAAACACCTCAATCAATTTGTTGCCTGAAAATGTGACAAGACATCGAAAACACAGACGGTATAATTTAAAATAGAGTTGTATTATTTAATAGAATAAATGGCATGGAGTTGATTATATTATGCAGCATCCTATAAATAATGCTAAACAAAATGAAGTTTCTTTCAGAGGCAGCCAACCAGTAGCTTTGAGAAATATGAAAAATAAAAAAAATATCGTTCTTGAACATTATCTGCATAAAACAATCACATCTACAGCAGCCTAAAACCAACTCGAATAGTGAGTTCTTAGAAAGAGATTATTATAGGTTATTTTAATCTCTGTCATTAAATAAGTGATGAAGAATCTGTATGTGTGTATATGTTCGTTGTATTGTCGAGCAACATAGCCTTCTAGAGCCGCCAAAGGTCGAACACGCATAGATTTCTACCCAAATATTTGCACCTCAAAGCCAAATTTTAAGCTTCGAATTTTCTTTTTATTTATTTAATGTTCTGTGCGAATTTAATGGCACCGTGATTAACAAACGCAACGATTTTAAAACAATGTTTTGACGCTTGGCAAAGCGTAAGATGCTCCTATTTCAGATTTTAATCAGAAAACTTTGCTATTAAAGAAAAGTACTGTCGCTTAGAAAGCGTTATATTTGTCTTCAGATTTAATAAAGATATTCAGTAATATAAAAGAAATGTGTTTTCACTGCCCGTAATAGAAATTTTTTAAGTTCCATGTGCCGGTGCATTGTCATTCAGCAAAGCGTACGATATTTTTCTTTCAAATTTAATCGGTCTGTTTTTGATTAACAAACCAAGCGATTTAAAAGCAACAAATTCTTCATCTCGATTATTATTGATTAATGGTTGGAGCTATAAAATTACATCAGCTGAATTCATTAAAATTACAATTCAGTAATCGTTGCTTGTTAAAATCATTTCCATTCCAAATATTTCCATTCCTAACTTAATTCAGCGGCTGATTTTAATAGACGGCAATTTGTGTATTGAAAATCGCGATACCAGTTTTAAACTTTTCAAGTAAAATAATAATAATAATCCCAAAATGACAATTAAAAATGAATATTTAAATGAAAATATTTACGCAATTCTAAAACACATTTTGGTTTTATATTTTTACAGATATATTTTTATAATTATGTTCTTGATGAAATTTTACCTTTTACAAACAACTATTCAATGTGCGTTTGTTTCATATTATTCAACGACAGTTTTTTAGCTGTATTCTCAAATTATAAGACCGTTGGTAGATTTTTGGATCACAGGTTAAGAGCTTCGCTTAGAATTTTCCGTGCGTTTCTGTATTCGACTTATGTTAGCATGTCATCAGTTTACAATTCCTCTGAGGCTTCTTCCCCATAAATAACATATTTTGCGGAAATAATTATAATTGTAATAAGAATGCGCATCATCATTGGAAAATATAAGGTGAGGCAAATAAAAGTGGCCAAGAAAACAGTGTAACTCTGTTCTCCGGGCCACTTATATTTGCCCCTCCCTGTACATAGTCCTGAAATGAGTTCAACTTAATGTGAGGCAGGATGGGATATTCTCGAAGAAAACTATGTTATTTCATAAGATATAACAGTATCTTATAATGTACTAAACGGAAGCTAAATAAGCATTATCTTGCATATAAATCATTAAATAATGCACGCGAATGTCCCTTTTTGAGAGCCTTTACGAGTTGAAGAAATTAGTACATTGGCTAATTCTCTACAATTTTAGTGAACAAGCTTACATTGCAAAGAACTATTTTTAATGAGTGGGCGTATTTTCAAATAATTAAATACAGTCAAACCATTTTCAGCTAATAGCGGTTTCGCTAATTTTCTTTCTAAAGTTCTGCGATAAACTAAGTAGTTTAAGTTGAACCATGAAATTTTGTTATAACATATTAACTCAAGGATATTGTCTAACACATAACTTAATCAATAATATGTCCATGAGCTTGATTTCCTTTATTTATAATCAGGGAGATTGTTCAAGTTACGTGCTGAAATGTAAATTGATAAAATGAATTTTGAGTTTCGTTTATTCAGTAATAATTGCATATTTTGCCTAAGCAGGCATCCTTCCTTCAGTTAAAAGTATTCAGAAGAGCATCGCAAAATCTTACCTTTGTAGTTGAATTCAACAAGATGTTTCTCACATTGAAGAGAGTAGTAGCAAAGAATTATTAATATCTATCTGCCTTATTTAAACATAAAAATCTTTTTATACATCTACAATTTGAGATTTTATGCATGCAATTTCATTTCTGTCATCTATTGTATTTCAGAAACATCTGTTTCTGGGCCCACCGAGATGACATTATGATTTTCCAAGAATGTAACTATGGATATAACTTCTGTCATCTTTTTAATTTAAGAACATCTGTCTCTTCACCTAAACTGGATGACAAAGGCCCATATGTGTGACAGTAAAATTAAGACCACCGCGCGCCCTTATAACTTGACCTTTCTAAAATTTATAATCATGTTAAAAATAACCTAAAGAATTTTTGTTTTTTTAATAAAAATGTTTAATTCCTTACCTCCAAAGATCATTTATATATATACCATAGCTGAGAAGTACAGAGTGTCAGAAGAGATATTGTATTCTATCAATTTCCAAAAAATGTCACAGATTTTAAAGCTTTTAATGTAAAACTCTAAAGCATGAATTTTCCGAAGGCTGCTTTTATGTACTCTTTTCCTACAATAAATATTTTTCTTAAAGACAAAAAGTTAATAGCTTCTCCTATGGGATTGGAAATTATTTTACAAAAATAAGTAAATTCTTAATATCTTATCAAAGGTCAAATTGTTAAGGTTTTTAAAAGTTTTTCTCAGTTTACTTAAATTTCCTTAGGTATCTTATGTTAAATTTTTTTTATCTAATTTCATCGAGTCTTATATATTTATTTAATTCATTACTTCTAGAGCATTCTCTGGTTATCTTATGTTTCAAAACTGAACGTTCCTTTAAAAATATTTTATTGTAATTTTTTTATATTCTGCACACTTTGCGCGTATTCGAGACGTGCACGTTCGAGTCTCCGTGAGGGCTTTGCACATTTTTTCAAGTCTCCTGCTTCAAAAACTCCTAATGACTCTACAGAAGTATAATAAAATTTTTTAATATTTAATAAATTAGCCTAGTTTTCATTTTTGCTGCATTCTTCGCTTTACCTTTCACTAGAATAAACTCAATTCATTCAAAATATTCTGCAAAGCTAAATGATTTTTAGTTAGACCAATAGATTCAATTTGCCCTGATACGTTCATAAATTCGCCAATGATTGTGAAAAATGTTCGAATGTCTCAAATTTTCTACTCTCTGAATTTTAGCTCGAAATTTTCCTTTCCCCCCCAGTCGTAACTCAGTTTATCATATCAATGTTCAGTTTTCTTATTAAAGTTGCTTTCCAAAACACTTTTTTTGTCTTTTTATTATTAAAGTGTTGCGTGTTTTACTTTACTTATTACACATTCTCGGCGCTTTCGCCACATAAATTTGATTCAACAGCAAAATCACAAAATATTTAAAAACAGTATATCTTTAGAATTTCCGATAGACAGTCTGGAGCGGTGGAGATAAAATGTTATTTTTTTCGTACAGTGTTGTCGCTGCTCGCTTTGAAATCGTTGAATTCGTAAATTCCTTCTTTAACGCTTTGCAAAATATGAAATAGATAAGAAAACAAAAAATTAGAAATTCAAAATTCGGGCTTCCAGGTGTCCATGTTCGGGTGGAAGACTACATTATTCAAAATTTGATGACGGTAGGTACCGTTGTTTATTTACAATGCGAGAAACATGCATACATTTATGCATATTTTTATTATTTAATTCTTTAAATGTAATAGATGGCGATAATATTTGGTGGGAATTTGAAAAATGGTACAGCGCATTTAAACATTTCAAAGCAAAACGCCGTTCCGAGACTAATATCCCATTTGGAACTAACCTCCATTTTGGACTAAAAAAGGTTTGAAAAATGTGTTTCGTGATGTTCGAGAGTAAATACTCATTTAAAAGCAAAAATAGATTAATTTGATTTCCTTAATTATGGAAAACCACACGAGAACTCTCTGCCTAATTAAGGTATGCCTAAGTGAGAGCGCACTGCAAAACGTAATCTAAAGTAATCGTTCTAAAGTAAACGCGCAGGGAAAGCCATGACACGAGTAGAATAGAATTCAGAAAGCATTCTTGAAACATGTTGAAATTATTAAATTCTATGGTAAAGTTCTAGAATCCAGTATTGAAACACAGAAGCAGATATTGTATTCGAAAGTTCTGAAGAAAATACAAAGGGTAAAATAACGCTTGTTTAACATGCAGTGCAAACGCACGCGGTAAGTTTATGTTTTCTTCAACCTAGACGTATGCCAGATAGAAAGCGTCATGTCAAGACAAATAGGTGTAGTTTTAGGCCCGATATTATTTCACTACTGTTAAATATGTGAAATAAAACAATAATAATTATTTGCGCCTTTAGTTGCGTATAACAGACCTGTTATAAAAAGGAATTACTAACTACTTTATTATTTTGATATGGAGTGATCAGAAACATACAGGTATATTTTGCGAGCAAATAATACGATGTTTAATGACTTATTACTTAAACAAGAATTTTGAAAGTGCAATTGTAAACAATTTGCATGAGCAATTTCAAGATGTTATTTTGTGGTTAAATTATGCAGGCTGGACGAAGTGTTTTTTTAATGACAATGTTTTGTGAATTCTTTTTTGTCTATATCTTCCTTTCGGTTAAATTTCTCGCTTATATTATTCTTTCTTTCGACTTTTGTAATTCTGGCAAAAGTAATCTTTTTGAACTGGTCTGACGTATTGAAATGGCCACTGATCAGCTTTGGAGAAAGGAGATGATCCTGAATATGGAACGATCAGAATGATTTTAAAATAATTTAGAGGTATAAGAAAGTTGTCAAACGAGATTTCTGGAGGCATTCCACATCATCTTCTGCTTTGGAGTGACTTACGAGGAAGCGTTTCAAGCGAAATCACTGATCTACTGCATCAGCATATTAAAGAAGAGTACAAGGCAAGAGAAAAATATATTTTAGGGAAGTTTATGAGCACAGGGGAAATTTTGTATTGTGATCAAGGACCAGAATTTAATTTTTGGGGTATTTTATCGATGATTAGTTCCCTTAGCATAGTTAAGATTATGTATGTAATATAAAAAAAATGCAAATCAAAATTATAATTTAAAATGTCTCTTAATAGCTCACTTTTAATTCGGGTATTTTGTCTCTAGTATTAACTTTCTCCCAACTGCGTCAAATCTGAAAACTTATTCCGCATTATGTCATCTTCAAACTTCTGCATTGCCTATAAGTTTTAGCCAATCAGATTAACGAAAAAATATACTATAAATACCGATGTTCAGTTTTCTTAACAAGATACCTTACTCAATTTTTTCTCTTTTTAACTTTCATATTAAACATCACTTTCTTCACACTCATCCCACGTAAAATTCAACAGTAAAATCAAAAACTTTTTAGAAACAGCATATAGTTAGTATTCCAAATCCAGTATTAAACACTGCCATAATTACAAACAAAACGCCGAGTCACCGATAAAATTGACAAAATTACTAAACTTCATATTACAGTAGCTTGAAATTGTCTTTACAGTAGCTTGAAATAGTTTGTCAGCAGATGACATCGATATTTAGCAGTTTAACTTCTTCATAGATGACGCATAATACTGAAATTAATCGCATTTTACTTCATTGTACGAAGTAAAAAGGAAGTATTGTAATCGCGAAAAGTTTCAGGCAGAATATTTCAACGAAAATATCCATTCTGACTGCTATCGAATGCAATTTAACAATGGTTTTGCGTGATATTTGTACGTAAGGACAGAATAAAATACTCTTTTCCTAGAAAAAAAGAATTATAAAACTCTGCTTTAAAATGAATTTTTGAAGAGAATTTTTCGTGGCATCTGTACGAACGTATGTACGAACTTACGTACGTACGTATCTCGCATAACTCAAAAACGAGTAGCCTTAGAACATTGACATTTTGTATATAGGACTGCTATAACATGTAGATGTGCACCTCATGTTTTAGTTGCAATCGGCACCACCAAACGTATATATATATATTTATATATATATCCACTGTGTTACCCGGTTCAGTGATCTCAGTTTCTTTGCTCTTATACGTTTGTAACTTGTACATCATTTGCTTTAAAATAATTGAATTATGTTGTTCTTATCTTCCGGTTAAGGATTTTATGCCTTTAGTAAATCTGTATGCAATATTTTTAGAATTATCATCAATTTTAAAGAGTTTGTTTATGCGCTAAGCAATGTTTTAAAAGTTGTTTATGCGCCGCTAAGCCTAATAATTTTTTTGATAGCGGCCATTGCTTGTTTACATTTGAAACAGCTGGATAGTGGATTTGTTGCCAATCTAGAGAAACTTAGCTTCGCAACAACAAAGATAACACCTTCATTTATTATTGCGAATTAAATCATGCTTAATCCTTTCTGGAATTTTTTCGACGAAATCAGTGTTTAAGATTTACTTCGTAATTTTTAATACTGATGTTTTGAATTTTTATGTATTTTTGCCTTGTCTCGAAGTGAGAACTTAATTAATTGAATGAGAAATACTCAATCGTCTGTGAAAAACTGTTTCTTTTTGCTTAATTTCTTTTATACATCGTTCTAGCTTTATTATAATATTTGAATAGAACATGTGGCAACGATTAGATAATTCTATAATATGAATTTTGTGCATTCGGAGTTATAATATGAACGAAATATAATACTGTTAAGTGAACCTAGCGCCAGATTCTCGCTATGGTAAACAAATAGAGTGAATTTCAAAGAATGCATTTATTCTATTGTGGTTTATGCGCTGTCGGCGAAGTAGATGTAATTGAATCCAATAAGTTTAAATGAAATGCGTATAATTTAATATTCCGTTCAAGGAAGTCATGTGGTGTACACATCAGATTTTTTACTTCCTTGTACGAAGTAAAAAGGAAGTATTGTAATCACGAAAAGTTTCAGGCAGCATATTTCAACGAAACTATCCATTCTGACCGCTATCGATTGCAATTTAACGAGGTTTATGCATGACATCTGTACGTAAGGACAGAATGAAAGAATCGTTTCCTCCAAAAAAATTATAAAACTGCTTTAAAATGAATTCTGAAGAGTATGTTTCGTGGCGTCTGTACGAATGTATGTACGTATCTCGCATAACGCAAACACGAGTAGCCTCAGAATGTTGAAATTTTGTATATA